CATTTGCCCAGCCTTGAGCCCTCCTCCTGTCAGTGCTGACACGGTCGGTTTACCTTGAGGAATATTCGGCAAAAACTGCTTCCCTTCTGCCCTTCTTCCTTCCTTTCCTTTCTCTTCCTCCTCGTTTTCTTCCCTCCCTCCCTTTCTCCCTCTCTCTCTACTTATAAAATTTAAACAGAGAAAATCTTCCCTCTGGCCCAGTTAAGTACCATAAGCACCTAATAACACCACATCTGCTCTCAAGGTTATAAATGTAGAGTTTCTAAATGAGGTGCCGCTTACTAAAAAGTAAAGTTGATCTGTCTCTGAGGTTTTATCTTTTTAAAAAATTCATTTTGCCTTCCAAAAGGGTGTATTGTGTTTTGGCATTTACGGGGCAGTCCTAGAACAGAGTCCGCGTGTGCTCTAGAGAGCTCTTCCCCTTTCTTCCTTGTCTCACTCTCATGGTCTTATTCCTTGATCCTTCCAGTTCATTGATCTTCTACTTGCTGCTCTTTTATTATCCTAGCGGTTTTATTTCTCTTAGTGACTCCATTGTTTTACAAACCATGCCCACAATGTTATCACTTCTGACTTTATTAATCTCACCTTGACTTCCTAAGTGAGGTTCTTCGGTGGACTTTTTCAGAACCCCATGGTTCACTCCTTCCACAAACCACTTTATATCTTGACATGTCATCTTTCTTCTGTTCACCCTGAGATTATTTTTGCTTTTAGCTCCTTTTAAGAAGTTGCTCTCCTGCGAGAAGTCAAGAGGCTTCATGCTACAGCTATCACAGGCTCTGAGGCTCTTGGCCTCTGGTCTTGGGAGTCTTAAAACCTTGACTTAGAAGCCATTTACAGTGCCCACCATGCCACAGGCAGTGTGTGAGTCACTGGGCTGGACAGGGTCAGACCTAGTCCTTCTCCTCAAAGTGCACTCATTTCCTCATAAGAACATGAAGCCAGTGGTGTAGCTTACCAAGGGCAGTTCCGTCATTTGAGAGCACTTACGGCCTCATGTGACCTTTTAGTCCTGTGCTGTTGTGTATGAGTCTGTGCCTGTGTGTTTTGACTTGCCTTCTTGAAAAATAATGTATCCTCTTATGCATGTATCTTGGTTAATGCATAGATACATAGAATTCATTAGTCACCTATTTCACTGGTAAGGAAACAGGCCTCGGTGGGTGGGCTTAGTGACAGCTCTCATGTCCGCCTGTGGCAGAGCTGGGGGAGAATGCAGATCTCTGCTTTCTAGTTTGATGGTTTTTCTATCCAAGTTGATTATTGAAAAAATTTTTTGCTTCCAGATACTTTTGACTAAGGTGTGCTTCCTGATTTTATTCAAAAGTCTGGAAGTATGTCACCAGTATGGGTAGTGGCAGTAATTCCAGAAGAATTTTGCAAATTTAAGCCCATGGCTGTCGATCACATGCCTCCTGTGTCCTGAGATGGGTTTTTGCTTTGTGGGCATACAAAATAAGTATTTGACATTTTTGTCCTTAAAGATTTTGAGAACTGAGTTGAATTGATTAAAAATTAACCTAATAAAAACTTTTTTTTTCTTTCCCTGATAAGTTTTTTTTTCCTTTTGAGCTCGTGCTTCACCCCCACTTAAAAAAATCTTGGTTATCTTTTCTTTTACTACTATTAGACAAATTTATATTGATCTGTAGTTTTGTGCCAGGCATGGGTGTTAAGGATGCAGAGCAAATCCCAGCTGCCAGGGGCACATTGCCTGCGGGCTGGGGATCTGGGTGATGTACCACCAAGTGTACTTTATGCAGTGATTCTCAGCCAGGCCAACTTGCCCTTCTTCCCCCAGCATTAGGCAACGTCTGGAGGTTTTGTCTTTGTCGTAACTGGCTGGGGTGGGGGCCATGTTCCTGGCATTCTGCTAAGTAGAAGCCAGAGATGCTCTTGAACACCCTGCAGTACATAGGACTGTCCCCAAGCGAAGAATTATTGGACCCCAAATGTCAGCAGTGTCAAAACCGAGACACCTACATTTGGGGTGATTATGGCTGGGTTCAAAATGGTTCCCATGTTTCTAATGTTTCCTGTGCCTGGCACTGTCCCATGGTAGAGGTGTACATGTGTTAACTGCTGCCTCGGGTTTCGTTCAGAGGTCTGGGAAGGCTCATTGAATCCTGAGGATAGGAAGAAGAAAAAGGAGGGGACTGAGCAGGGGGAGTAGTGTTGGCAACCACCTCAGGGGTGACAGGGCCATCTGGGGAGCTGCAGGTGGCTCGTTATGCCTCGAAGTTGAGAGACAGTGGTAGAAGGCAAGGGAAGAAGTAACTCAAGAAGAGGATGTTGAAACAAAGTTGAGCCAGAAAAAGGACGGCCTTGTATGCCATGCTGAGGCATTTAGTCTTTATTTAAAGGCTGTAGGAAGCCAAGAGGTGGTTTTAAGTGGGTTGTTACATGTTCAGATTTGTCTCTTGGAAGGCAGACTTCATGTTTCAAGGTGAACTAATAATTGGAAGGAGGTAGCTAGAGATAAGGGGTCAATTTGGAGGCTGTTGCAGTCATTCAGAAATGAAATGAGCCAAGGAAGAGACAGTAGGGATGGGAAAATAGTTGAATTTCAGCAGTGCTAAGGAGGTTCAGTCTTTTGGTCAGGGGCTAGCGCAGCGAGGGCTTAGGGTGGTTGATGGATTTCCGACCTGGGCAAACACAGCCTCAGCACCCACGCTGCTTCCCCTAAGGGAGGTGAGCAGGGCACCTCAGCAGTGCCTGCGTCTTTGGGGGCTGCCTGCCCTTTCCGACAGCTGTCGATGTGGCCCTGTGTGCAGAGGTTAAGCCTGCCATGCCAACTCGCCCAGCACGTGGCGATGGAGAGAGAACAGGGCCGCTGCAGTAAAGCCCTCCTGCGGGAATGAGGGAGAGTGGACGTGCTCAGTGGCTGCTGTTCCACATCTGCCCGAGAGGAGGAACTGTGCCCCGGGCACTGGCTGCAGCGTGAGCTCCTTGGTTGGCCACTGAGGCTTTTGTTTTGCTTTTGTTCCTTGAGAGGATCTCTTTTGTCCATTGTCTTTTGTAGCTCCTGTGGGAAGGCATATGATTCATGTTTCAGCTCAGATGTCCCCTCTTCAGAGAGCTTTTCTCTGACTTTCTGGTATAAAGTAGGCATCCAGTTTTTAATTGCACTGCTCTCGCTATCCGCAGGGCACACATGATCTGCTAATGTCTGGTTCATTCACTGGTTTTACTTTTTCTGCCCCTCTTATGTTGGAATGTCAGGTCATGAGGGTGAAAGGCCTTGGCTGATATGTTCCCTTTGAATCCGTAGCATCTGCAGTAATATCTGGCTCCAGATACTTTTGGAAAGAATGGGTAATTGGACGAGAAAGGTCTAGAATGCCAAAGGAGGAACAGGTTTTTCAAAATTATTTACCATTTGATTTTTGGTGGGAGAGAAGATGAATTCTGTTTTGGATATGATGAGTTTTAGGACTATTTAAGGTCAGATGTCCAGTAGTCCATTAAACAGACAAGTCCTGAAGCTCAGGAGGGAAAGTACAACGAAGATTGCTGACAGTTGCTGAGTCCTTTCTGTGTGTCAGGCTCTGTTCTCAGCACTTTACTCATCTTAGTAAAATGGGACTTACGGAGAGAGAGTGGATTTATGGAGAGAGATGTTGAAATTGTTGAGTGGGAGTGTCCAGAGAGTGTACACGAGGAAAAGAAATAGGAACAAAAGCCTAGCGGACACTGGGATCTACGAGATGAACATAGGGGCACCATTCAGAGGAAACAACCAGAAAGGTAGGGCAGCATGCTGGGGGAGTGTGGCGTCTAGGAATCCAGGGAGGAGCTTCGAGGAGGAGAGCTTGCTGGATGTCTCAGAGGGATCTGAAAAGCATCCGTGGACATCAGCATCAATGAAGTGCATCTGGGAAAAGCTGTTTTAGGAAACTTTGGGGAAAGGAAAGAGGTTGAGGGTCTGAGGCCACACTTTGAGAACCACTGGGCTAAACCATGTATTTCTTGAGGGCAGAAACTATTGTCTTGGTTTCTTTTCTTCTATTCCTTGGGGCCTGGTAAAATATTCTGTGGGTTGATTCCTCAAATGGCTTACTGATTCAGTTTTCCCCTATAAAATTCCAGGGAAAGGAATGTCTGGTGAATCAGAACCGGGCTTCCTCTTCAGGCTGCTTTTCCCCTTCATAACTCATGCTGTAAGAATCCATTCAGCCCTTTGACTCAGCAGCCGTAGAGGTGCCGCTGGACTCTTTCCCCCTGTCTGATGCCATTGTAGACTGGTTACAAATTAAGATAAGTAGTTTAGGAGGAAACTACTCCCTTTTCAGTTCGGTGAGATCTAGGAAGTCTTAGAGGTTGCTGGGAGGAAGAAGCCAGGATTGTTTCCTAGAAACAGAATGGAGAAGTCTTTGCAGAAGTTTGAGGGGGCCTTGCTGGCACGTGGGATCCACTCTGCTCTCCAGGAAGCATATGTGCTGTCCCAGCTTGCATTTTCTGCACCAAGGCAACAACAGGTGGCCCAAGCAGAGAGTGGGAAGCAATAACCAGCTCTCCAAGTAACAGCATTTTCATTTGCCAAATGTTATGTTAATGCTCTCTAAACTTGTGGGAAATAGGCAAACTTAGGCTGAAAATATGCATACTGTTAGTATGGAGTTTTCAGACTTTTGTTAAATTGTAGGTAAACAATATCAAAAGATATTTTACAAATTATGTGGTAAATTTTGCATAAAACAAATATGTGTGCAACTTTCAATATTTACACTGTAGCAAATTTATTTATCAGCTACGTCAGGAAAATTCTTCATGAATATGGTAGCATAAAAGCAGTCGCTTTTGCATTTGACTTGTAAGGAAATGGAAGCGAAAACATTTAAAAAACAGCATGATTTTGTCTGCTTTACCTGAATGAGTAGTGGCATTTTCTAACTGCTTGTCTTTTGGGCACATAAGTCATCGTGATACATTCTTACTAATAGTCTTTGAACTTCTTTCTCTGTCCTTTTCTTCCGGCCGTCTATTGCTGCCTTTAGCGCTTCAGCGTGGAAGGGATCTCAAATGTCATTCAGAATGGCCTCCGCCACACCTTTGGAAATTCAGGTGGAGAGAAACAGGTGCTCCGTTATCCTTATTTTCCTCATTCCCTGCTTTTTCATTCTCTGTGTAAGTGAAGGTCCTGAGCTGGCAGTTTTACTAATTTACTAAGACCATTGCTTAAAAGAGAGAAGTGAAAGTGCATTCTATTTATCATCTTGATAATGCATAAAATTTCCCTTCAGGAAAAAGCATTTTTGTAATGGGACAATGAACTGAATGTATTCTTAATACCTGTTTTAGAGCCTCCATTTTTCACTCTTAACCTTTGAACAAATAGATATTAATGTATTGACATAATGAATTGCATGTTTAGAATGTATAATTGTGAAAATAACTAAATTAGAATATGCTATCTAATTTTAAAAGCCTAAGGTCTCCTTTTGGGGGAAAGAAAACAAGATGTTGGTATCTTTTAGACCAGAGTTCTAGTGAAAAATGTCTGTACAGTATATCTTACCTACTTTTAAATGAAATACATGTGTTTTTAAGGTGTATCATATAGCCAGGCAACTCAGTTGTCTGCCAAGTGAGATATGAAACATTATTTATAAAAAATCATACATGGATAGAAATATAATGTCAGTGGGTAGCAATTTGCTTTTGATTGACATTTTTGTATAGCAGTTTAAGGCCTATCATGAACACGAGTAGCACATCTACATGAATGAGTGCGCTTAAAATTACATTCCACAATTTGAAATTTTCACTTTAGAAAGAAAGCTCTTCAGTGAAGATTGAAAGACTGCAGAATGTAGTGTTTGGCAGTTTATCAAAAGGCATTTGAACCTAGGATTTTTACTGAATACAGTTATGTATTATTCAGGAAAGGAAATAATCAACATTAAATAATTCTTCACACTGCCCTTTGAGCTCATAAAGGGCTCCATGAAAGAGTGGCTGAAGTTTGGGTTTTATTCTGGTGTCTCTCAGCTCTCTGCAACTAAGATGGTAAATTAACTTCCAAACTGACGCAGCACCTGAGAATGGGGCAGAAAGGCCTGAAAGTGTGCCAGGGCTCCAAGTGCCAGACACCTGCGCTATTAATGGAGCCCTGGGAGGGCATGCTTCCAGCTTTTTGTGTGTTCTTTATATCGAAATATATCCAGTTATACAGCTGGACATCACCTTGGAGATGTCCACACCACAAAGATGGCTAAAGTTTCTTAAAGACTGAACAATTCACTTTTCCTGCTTTTCTGGACCTAGGGAACTAGTTATTGTTAAGCAGTTTTTTTCTTGCTTTCTTGGTTATGAGTGAGATATTTTCAGAGGATTAGGAATAGAGCTGAGATTTAGGGCAAGGACTAAATAATGGGTGGGTCTGAAGAGATTCCAAGTAAAAACCTGTAGATCTCTAGATGAACACAAGCAGACTACACTGAACTATATATTTTTTTGCTGGAGTGGTAAGAATGAAAGAATCTGGACAATAATTTTTAGATTATGCTTTCATAGGACACAGTTACAGGACATACCTCTGATACTTGTGAGCCTTTATGGGAGTGAACTAGGCAGTCTGTCTCAATTTCAGACATGAGTTTCCATTATTCATTGCCATTCTCTCCTTTCACTTTTCTCTTTTCCTTTAATACTTGTAACTACTTACACAATAATTTAAAATAATAATATACCTCTAAAATGATTTGGGTAAGTCTGTCCTTGTTAGCTTCTGGAAGAAGCTGGCATATGTTTAAAGTTGTCAAGTTATCCATGTGACCATTTTGTTCACCCAGAAAAACCTGGTCTGAAACAGATGATTTGGCTGTTGGGAATTTTGCTAGGCAGAATTTATAACATTTTAGTTTAAACTGCTATTTAAAAAATATATTGAAAAATATCTAAGGAGAATGTTAGATAAGACTTCACTTTGAAAATGGGCAAATTGAACAAGTCACCCCCAGATGTACTTCTGTGAATTTTCAATAACTGGAAGGCAAAAAAAGTAGATATTTATGTTGACATTGGGCTTGTATGAAGCAGATAGAGGTGGGCAAAAAAATGAGCTCCCGCTGAGATAGTAAGATACCTGTGTTCATTACTAAAGTAGCTCATGTTTCATGTTATAAAATAGAGCCTTTAGTAACTGTATCCAATTTTTGCAGATAAGGTAATTCATATTTAAGTGACTCTTTTTTTTAATTTGGCAGTACTTGACAACAGTCATTCCCTATGAGAAAAAAAATGGACCACCCTCTGTCGAAGATCTTCAGATATTAACAAAAAGTGAGCAGACAAAATTAAACTCTTATTTACTTCTGCTGATTCTAAATTCTGATTTTAGTTGGCTGACCTTGTTGCTCTTGTTTTTGTTTGTGTTGTCAATTTTGGATAATAAATGGTGGGTGTCATCTTTTATTCTTTTGAAATTGAAGCCATAAATGGCTTTGACATCAAACACAACACTAAATCTAGGGTTGATTTATATTTCTTTTGCTTTTCTTACCTTTTAAAATATTTACAAACAATTTTTTGGGGAAAAAATATTTAACCTGATTCTCCATCACCTCTTGTATGTTCAAGAGTACATCTGTTTACCAGTAAATAAGGGGCTTCATGAATCTTATATCAATGTGACTACCAGTGACTCAATAGGAAAGATTTAGGAGATGCCAAAACACTCGGCTTATTTAGGAATATAACCCAAGGTAGTAGTTATAGGTGGAACATAAATTGATAATAATATTTTAAGAATGTTCATTCATTCAGCAAATATTTAATGAAGGCCTACTCTGTGCCAGGCCATGTTCTGGGCACTTGGGGTACTTAAGTGAACAAAGCAGACAAAAATACTCCTCCTTCGAGGGGTGTGCTTAAAATTTGTTAGACTTAAATGCACATCATATTGAATGTGTCTTGTGATAGCCGTAAATGAGCCCTGACTTCTGGTTCTCTCCCTGCCATTTATAGGGATGTTCTTAGAAGTCACTGAACCTCTCTTGGTCAGTGAAAAGTGAGGATAAAAAATACTCTATTTAGTAGATAATGTCTCTGTGATTTGGAGTCAGCCAATCACTCAGGCTCGTTTTGCTTTAGGGGATTGAATTTGCTGATCTTTTAGGTACTTTCTAAATGTAAATATTTGTGATAACTGCTAAGTAAAGAGGGAGCCAAGTGAGAGCATCCCACGAGTGGATATTAAAGATGGTATCTGTTTTGGAAATTCAGGCTATGGAGACATGGGTGGGAGGAATATGAGGAAAGAAGCAAGAGTGATTTCCAAGCTACCTGGAAGCTTTTATTTTTTCCTTGGGTGAATGATACTTTCAAAACATTTTATACTTAAATATGGATAAATCAAGTGATGCCATCCAATCTAAAATAAATAAGAGATGAACTGGGTGGCTAGCCCTCTAGTTTTTTAGAGCGAACTCATGAAGTTACAAGCATCCAAGATGACACAGGGGATAGTTAATTACAGGGCGTGGGGTCTTAATTCCCAGGCCACCGTACTTTTTAATAATGCTGGCTTTTGGTATGTGATTTTACATAGAACAGAAAACAAATCTAAAACCTGATTGGAAGCAGAAATACTGAACGTAGTAGTCCTCTGAGAAGGGAACATAGATATTGCCTGGAACCTAAGAATACTGAGAGGCCTCAGCTTCTCAGATCAAGCACAAACAAATATGTGGCCAAACCAAAGTCATCATAATTCCAACATGAAAATGTCCTTAGGCCAGTTCTTAGATGATGCCTTCATAGACTGACACAATTTGGAATCTTTGGGTGAGTGAATATCTAAGTTAATATTGTTATGAGGGTAGGGTTGTTGTGAAGACAGTAGATGGAAGGATGACCTTCACTTTAAGGAAAAGAAAGGTAGTTATCTCCTGAAATCTTTGGGGAAACCTGAGCCGCTGCCGCTGCCACCTGTAGACATTAGCCACAGGGGAAGCCCTTTGGAGACAATCACATCTTTATGGATACATAGCCTCCCTTGTAAAAGCCGTTGGAGGTGCATAATAATAGTCATAGGAATAATTAGGGTAGTATTACTTGTGTTAATAATTACAGCTAATGATTATATAGCTCATGTATTTTACATATATATATTGTGCCAGGCACTATTCTAAATCCCTTACATCTGAATTAGTAACTTAGTATTTACAACAAGCCTTGTGATGGTTCTAATTATTCTCCTTTTACAGATGACGAACTTGGTGCATTGAGTGGTTAAATAGCCTGCTCAAAGCCCCACAGCTGTGAAGTGGTGGAACTAGGGTTTAAACCCAGGGAGGTGACTTGACAGTTACACTATGTTGTCTTGTCACATGTCTGGGGAAAACTAGTGAGGCATTTTCCCCAGGATGCTCTGGGAAAGGCTTGAGTTGGCAGTCACTGTTGAAGTGCAGTATTTGTTTGGAGGGTTATCTGGACCCAAGTGGTCTAGATTTCTTTTTTAACCACTCTAATAGTAGCTGATTTTTCTATATTGTCTTTGCCTAGAGATAAAATTGTCAAAGATTCCCTTCAGGCTGAGGCTAACTCGTCCAGGTTCCTCTGTAGCACAGAGGAGAGTAGGCAGCCTGGCAGAGAGCTGATTCATGGAAGTCTGTTCTTCATTGTGCTCTTCTCATCACAAGTTTCCAAGAAGGCTGACAGATATGCTCCTTGGAGAGTCTCTTTATTTATCCAAGTGTTTCTCAAGCTTGGGCGAGCTGCAGCTCTGAGGTTCTGTTCCCCAGGGCCCATGGAAGTGTACATGACAGTGACTCACTATTTATGTTTGTTTGGCACACCCCAGCCTCTGTGTAAATAACCTGGCTCTTCTTTCCTGGTTCCACTGCTTGGAAATTTTAAATCAGGGAAATAACTCTCAGGTAACTGTCATTTTCTTTTCTGAATAAGGACCTATTTAACCAAAGTAAATACTTGAGCATTTGCTGCTGTCATCCTTTATTAAAGAAAATAATCAATGGTTTGCATGTGTCAGTTGTAACACAGTTAATTAAAATTAAGCCTGCAATGATAGGAATTAAATGATATTTTTTTATCTGCATTTGAAATTGTTGCCCTTTCTTTCTCTCTTTTATGTTGCAGTTCTTTGTGCCATGAAAGAGGACAGTGAAAAAGTTCCAAGCTTGTTAACTGATTATATACTGAAAGGTGGGTTTTATGGTGGTATACGTTCAGGGGCTGAGGAATTCTGATTAGTTGATAAATGCATTGTAATGTTAATAGATTAACAACTAACTTCCAGATGTTCAACTTTCATTAATTTCATTTGTACTGGGTGAAGATAGATAGATACATGGTATACTTATGCTACCAACATTATAAATTATGGTCATATAAAATTTGACATTTGAGGTCCTAGGCTGGAAATAATTTCCCCAGCTAAATTATGGACATTGAGGAAGGCAGTGGAAGGAATATTACAGAGCTATTGCCATGATTATATGGGTCTTAGGTGTTGACACTGGGAAGGTTTGAGAGGGGTGGTTGACCTCTTGCTGTGTTGGGACAGTAGTAAGAGAAGGATGGATCAGTGAGGATGGCTACGGGGGGAACAGAACAGTCAGTTAACAGCCCCCACGGGGATATGGAAAGGATTGGCGTCAGGGATAAGGAGGGGAGGGGAAAAAGGAAAAGAATGGACTTTCATAAAGCCAAGGATCTACGAGATGCCAAGGTAGTAAAAAATGAGCTACGAATCTTAGGAGTGAGGTCAACGTCACATAGGATGGGAATAGTGATGAGGCAACGGAAGATGGTTTAAGAAGTGAATTGAGTTCGCTTACTTTGCTGAGGTAAGAGCAAAATTTGAATGATAAGGAACTGAAGAACTTTATAGGCAAAACTACTAATACGTGGGACATTATTTTTTGGAAGGTAGCATTTATTTAGGAGACATATTTTCAAAGCATCACAAAATGCATCCTGTTTTGTTTGATCCAGTTTTGAGAGCAGTCCTCCTCTGGTAACACTTCTCTTCTCTGGGGTGGCCCTCTTCTCCATCAGTTGTTAGTGGAAACAAAAGGGAGGTTGGGGTTTCTGAGACGTTACATGACTCCGCTGGGACTTTTCTTCAACCATAGCTTTCTCAAGAGCAAATTCGGTAGTGTACACCAGGAGCTCAAAGTGAATAAAATACCTGTGTCACCTGTAAGAGATTTGTCTTGGAACCAGTCACTATTAGGTTAACGGGTGGGGAGTGCGTAGAGAAGACTAAATTCACATTAATGTTTTTTAATAAGCTATGTTTTTCTGATGGAGAGCTTTTTCTTCATACTACATTCTAAATTTTGTTTTAATACTTGACATTTTGTTTGCTTCTGTGTTATGCTAGCATTGGTCTGAAAGCTGGATTTTTCTGAGGTTTGTTCTTACAGATGTGAAACAGGAATGAGATGAACATAAAGAACATGTCTTAATGTTTAATTATGTTGGCTCCCGAGGGCCCTGCCGTGAGGGCCAGAGATAGAACAAGCTTCTAAAGCATTCTCTATTTATCATTTGACTGCATGCAAGAATTTTATGACCTCAAGAACCGAGTGCTCTGGGGAAAAATGATTTTAAAGGGTTTCCTCTGAACACCAGGCCTGCACCTGTGACCCTGCACTGCATGCCTGAGGCAAACAGCCTCACCTAGCTCCTTCCTCAGGCGCCAGCTGCCGGCTCCCGGCTGTGAACCTAGGTCTGCCCCTACCTTCCCTGCCTGAGGAGCTGCTGGCGTGCATGTGTCATGTGTCGTGGTTTCGTCTGGGCTTTGTGTTGTGAGGACTGGGTGGAAAAGCAGCTAGGGTTCAGCCTAAGGAGGGATGCTGTCATCCCAAAGAATGGAGCAGGGAGTGTAAGGCTCCAGAGGTTGTTCCAGTGCATGGGTGGGTGCGGATGGTTCCTGATTCAAATGCTCTTTTCCGCCCATCCTGGAAATCCACAGCTAGTTACCATTTCCTCTCCTGCAGGGACCAACAGTAGAGTTTTGCTTGGGAGGGTTTATTGTTCAAGGGCAAACGCTCCTTTCCCTTTCTTGGTAGGACTTTGTCATTGTTTAACCACCTATAACTATGGTTTGGCTGCCTAAATATACCACCTGAATTTTAATGCCAAGGTGAGAAGTGAAAGAAGGTAGAAAAGTGGCCTCATTTGGGATAATGCTGTCTGGGCCACTGTAGCTTCTCTCACAGCTGCTTAGATACCCCACCACAGCCTGCTGCCACCCCTGCCCTCAGCAGTTGTACCAAAGGCTGGTAGTACAGACATGGCTGCTGCTCTGCTGATCTGCGGCAGGACGGAAAATATGCGCAGAGCCTTGCACCCTCTTTTGAGTGTGCGGTGTGCTGTGTTACAAGCCCTCACGGTGTAGGGCTAACATTGGTCTCTTATCTCAAAGTAGTACCCTAAGAGACATGGCCTTTTGGCATCTCATTCCTGGGTAATTCTAAATAATGTATCTTGAGAGAACTTTCTATTGTTGGGTGTAGCCTTTAACAACCTTTCCTTTTTAAAAAACAAATTGCTACTATAGATCCTTGCATTAGTATTTCTTATTACTTAATGGTGTTTTATGTACATATAACTATATATAAAATGTATATACATCTTGTATAAATGTACACAAAATATACAGTTCTATTTTTCTTTTTCTTCCTCTAGTTCTGTGTCCTACATAGGGCCGTATTGCTCTGTAGCAGTTTATCTTCTGTGGCTGCATAGATTTCCGATAGCATTATTCCGCCCATCCTGGAAATCCACAGCTAGTTACCATTTCCTCTCCTGCAGGGACCAACAGTAGAGTTTTGCTTGGGAGGGTTTATTGTTCAAGGGCAAACGCTCCTTTCCCTTTCTTGGTAGGACTTTGTCATTGTTTAACCACCTATAACTATGGTTTGGCTGCCTAAATATACCACCTGAATTTTAATGCCAAGGTGAGAAGTGAAAGAAGGTAGAAAAGTGGCCTCATTTGGGATAATGCTGTCTGGGCCACTGTAGCTTCTCTCACAGCTGCTTAGATACCCCACCACAGCCTGCTGCCACCCCTGCCCTCAGCAGTTGTACCAAAGGCTGGTAGTACAGACATGGCTGCTGCTCTGCTGATCTGCGGCAGGACGGAAAATATGCGCAGAGCCTTGCACCCTCTTTTGAGTGTGCGGTGTGCTGTGTTACAAGCCCTCACGGTGTAGGGCTAACATTGGTCTCTTATCTCAAAGTAGTACCCTAAGAGACATGGCCTTTTGGCATCTCATTCCTGGGTAATTCTAAATAATGTATCTTGAGAGAACTTTCTATTGTTGGGTGTAGCCTTTAACAACCTTTCCTTTTTAAAAAACAAATTGCTACTATAGATCCTTGCATTAGTATTTCTTATTACTTAATGGTTTTATGTACATATAACTATATATAAAATGTATATACATCTTGTATAAATGTACACAAAATATACAGTTCTATTTTTCTTTTTCTTCCTCTAGTTCTGTGTCCTACATAGGGCCGTATTGCTCTGTAGCAGTTTATCTTCTGTGGCTGCATAGATTTCCGATAGCATTATTCTGAAAGCTGGCTACCATGACCTTCCTGCTACTGGACACTCAGCACACTTTTGAACTTGGATTTGTGATTCAGTATTACTAGATCATGCCTTCGCTAATTATATTATGAACCAAGAGAAATATGGCACCATTTTGAATTGTTGAGATGGTTTTTTGTTAACTACTAACGGTTATGAACATGCTCCGACTTTGTAAAGTAAGGGGGGATAATAGTAATTGTGCATGGGCCGTTATATTTTTCATTAGCTGACAGAATGCCCGTTTGAGTTTTTCTGGCTTTCTAGGACTAACTTGCACTGAAGAAGTAGACTAAAAGCACTGAGAGATTTTTAACTATTCTTCATTGATGGCGAGAACCACCGATTGTTATGAGAATTGTCAGTATAAATATTACCTACCAGTATTGTCCAGAGACTGAAACTGAACAAACTTGGGTGTTCTTGGAGGAAGTGAAACCAGAATACGCATTATTTTGGCTTTTAATACTCTGGGCACATTGACGCTGTTGAGGGTGCTGTGCATTTCACCATTCTTCCAGGTTTTTACGATTAAGTTGCCATCCACTTTCAGAAGCTTGTACTGTTTAACTTTAGATGTTGCAACGTCTTGTTTTATGTGTCTGTGAACAAGTGACCTTTAAAAGGAGCTGGCACCCTCTAAGGTGCTTTAGAAACTGTGCTGCAGCCCTGCCTGTGCCTGCCACTGTGAGATGGCTCCATCACGCCTGTGTGTTTGCTCGAAGTCCTAACTACCACAGCTACTCATGGATACATCACGCGTCAGGAAACACTTCTGCCAGTTCCAGTCAAGTCAATGCCATTTAATAAATGTTGAAAAAAAAAGGTAATATGTGCTTGAGAGCTTTATCTTTGAAGTGTTTGTTGTATTTGTATGATTTTTCTTCCCTTTGCAGTGCTAGATTCCTCCCCTGGTCCACACATTGTCCGTCACTGCAGTGTGTGAGCTGGGAAACCTTCATTAGCCTCATGGTGCTCAGGAGGGGAGAGAGGGACTTTTCTGGGTTGTGCTGCGCTGCTGTGGAAGGATGGAAGTCTGTTTTTCTGGGCCTGAGACACATTCCCAGGAGGTACAGCAGCTTCCTCCCTTAGAGAAATTGAGTGCAGTAGTTGTCAACTTTAGAACAATAGGACCTGCCATCAGGGGCTCTTAAAAATCCCAGTGAGCATCTGTGAGCATACAAGCCTGTCCACACTGCTCACTCCACTCAGTAACTGGGATCCCAGGACTGCAGCGGCAGTAGCTTGGATTGCAGTTTGACGCCAGGTTGGCGTTTAGCTGTTATATCTAGGGATATGTGGGACTTGAGATGGCCCCTTATTTTATTGATGTGTTATCTAATAGCATGTAGAACTTATTTGCCCCTTGCCCTTGAATTGATGAAGATGCATACTTATACAATGTTAATAGTTTGATCTGAATTAAAAAAAATAATGCCTTATTCCAAAGAACTAGTGCTTTGGATGGCATCCTGTAATAGGGTCAAAAGCTCTCTGGTGAAGATTCAACCATGGTCTGTTTATAGCCCATTCTTCTTAAGAAGTTGATGCTTCTGAAGTATATGAAAAAACCTATTTCTTTTATCAATTCAAAATCCTCTGGTAATGAGGTTTCCCTAATTTTGCTTGGTAAATTTCCCTCTTCAGCAGTAGACCACTAGGGTTTCCCACCTCAACTCTTCCTATGCATGATGAATGAGTCTTGACACCAGTGAGATGTCAAGTTTCTGATTTGCGACTGACAATAGGGGGGTTTTAAGTCTCCCTAAGAGCAGCATTCCTGTGCCGTACACTCTGGTGGGGGGGGTACAGCGTCTACTGGGGGGCACTGTACTCTGAGGGAGGGGATGTGGGGGCACCATACTTACAAGGATTCCTTGGGAAAGGCTTGCCTCCAGAGAAAGCCAGCTGGGGCAGTTTGTGACGCCTGAGGGTCATCAGATTGGACAACTTTAAAACAAAGGGATGATTCGGCTTTCTAATCCCCAGGTACGGAATCTCTTTGAAAGTTACATTGTATCATTTAGATTCAATGTTTATTTGCTGCCAAGAACTAAACTGCAAATACTCTGTAAGCTTTGATTTTTTGAAGAAAACAAAATAAAACTGTAGAACTACAGTGCACTCCAAGTGCCATATATCTATTTTATTCTTCAGGAAATTATATTTGTTTTTCTTTTACAAGAGCACAACAGGAACCAAAGAAAGAGTAAAAGATACAGCACTCAGGATAAATCATATCTTTAAAATAATAATAAAAAAATTTACACCTTGTCCTATATCCTGTTAGTATTTTCATAATATGGCCATGATTGGAAAAACAAAAAAAAGCAAGCATTTACAATTTTTTTGATACTTTTTATGCCAGGAATGGATTAATTGTCAACAAAATTTTATACTAATCAGGCTGATGTAAATCTATTTTGGTAACATCATATCATTAACAAATTTATTTTGGAAATAGATAAAAATATTGCCCCTTGATAATAAATCTGTTTTTTTCTTTGATGCAAACAGCTAGAACACCTTTTTCTTTTCCTTTTTCTTTTGATATTCTAAGACAAAAAAAATGGTTAATCTTCAGATTAATAAATTAGGTCATTATAATAATAAATTAATTTTTTTTAAAGTTCAGCAACCTCTGTCCAAGTATTTACAACAATACTTGAAAGTTCCTTTACAAAACAGAATGCATTTTTCTTTCACATTACGCATACTGGGTATCTGTGTCTTTCACAACAAGCATTTTTAAAAGAAAAATCAATGCACAAATGGGTAATTAGTATAAAAGTGCTAAGAGCTGTTTGAAAAGTTCACACTACAGTATACAGTCAGTTATATTTGAGGCAAATGACAACAAACTTCCAGCTTATTATGGACAATATTCCAGTAGTTTCAAACAGTTGTTTGAAGAAGAAGAAAAAAAAAAAAATCCAGGAGCTGATTAGTGATGCAGATGAACTGCCATCAATGCCTCTGGCCAGTGAGCGAATTGAAAACCAGCCAAAGGAAATCTGAATGAGGACGATTTTAGTAAAGGAATTATGTTCTCTGTCACAGGTGTGGCGCTGACTGCACGAGGCATGTGCTACACATGTGTGTACACACACACACACACACTCACACGCTCCACACACATTTTCCCAGTTAAACTGCAGGTAGAATGAGATTTGTATTCAAAAGTTTGTAAGGGAATTAAAAGCATTGATATGGAATGCCTGTTTGTCTCTGTTCTGGTTAAAATCTCATAAAAATACATTCAACAGGAAAACATAAATTGTATGTGTATAAATATATATGTATATATTATATACACATGCACACAAATACTTTGTTTCTTTTTGAAGCATAAGATAGTTACATAAATATTCCTATAATTGCTAAAGTTTAAAGAGGCATATTTTTTTTGAGCTTCAACAAAGGTGCTTGAATAATATACACTTAAAATGAAGTAGTTTCTATTTCGTAGAATCAGTATATAATAAGGAAAAAGAAATCCCCGAAGTCTTTTTTTAAAAAAAAGTTTCTTAAGCTAGAGCTTCAACAAAAACTATGAACAACCAGCAATATAACTGAACCATGAAGCACAGTCCCTGGAGACGCCTGCTGTCCGTCCCCCTCTCCCTGCTTCCCGCCCAACTGCTGTACGAAAGCGCCAGTGCCCACATCCAGGAATGACTTAGGTCTCACTCAGCTCCTTCCTCTGCTAGGAACTGGCTGGCTGACTTGGAAGAAAACAAAAGCAGCAAAAAGTATAACGGTATATATCCTTCCTACCCTGCGTTAGAGAAATGCCACTATCACATTCCTCCAGCTTCCTCACCCGCCTACTGCTGTTGTGCCTGTCTAGAAAAGAAACTTGTGGCTTTAGATCTGGGATGGCTCCCAAAGGGTTCTGGTGCGCCTGTCTGGTAGTTCTAAGGTGGTTATTTCAGCTGGATCACACGGCCTTTTTTATTTTCTGCTCATTCAGGCCTCAACTTTGCAGTAACCAGTGCAGTCTTCAGAGCCACGGGAAAAAAGGATCTTCTTGGCCACTGAGCTGCTTTGATTTTACTGGGATTCTCCCCGATCCAAGCTGACCAATTTGTCTTCCCAACACCACCCTCCCACCCATTTCCCCATCCAAACTCACTGTCCCCACCCCCAAATATCTCTACAGCTATATTACAAGCAAATATATCTTAGCAACTTTGAAAACTTTGGTTCTAAGAAAACACTTGGTCAGTTATCTTGAGGAAACGTGGGAATGCTTGTCCTGCACACTGCTGTAGACAGAGCTCATCCCAGTAAGCTCTTAGCGCTGTACATCAAGTCACAATCCAATACCATCCACTAAGCAAGTGCACGAATGCTAGTTTACTTCTAAGAGCAGATTTAGCTGTTTTCTGTCTTTTAAAACCTCATCCCAGTTGCCTTTTCTTCACACAGTTTGGTAGAAATTATCTGCCTGTAGATGGCTCTGTTTTTGCATGCTGTAGAAGCCACTGAATCTTGCATCTGGTTCAGCAATTCTTAGCATTCTCTGGGAACTGTCCACTTGGACTCTGGCCCCTTTCTTGCAGTCCACAGACACCAGCTGATTATTTAAGGAAGAAGGCTATTTAACGAGAGGGGAAAAAACCACAAAGAATTAGTTGCTTCACGTATCCTGCATTAATGGGGATTTGTACTTAATTCAAGTGAGATAATAGCTCCACAGGACACTGCTAGGCAGTTTACATCCTGTTCTAATACCAACTATAGTTTTATGAGGGATACCCCCAAACTGAAGGTGAAACGTCAACAAAATTATGTCAGGGGGTTGATGAAGGAACTGATGAAAAAGAACTGGTGAAGTGACGTAACTTTTTTAAAATTGTAAAGTGCAGACTACTGCTCTTTCTATAGGGTTGAAGAATGAGGAGGAGTTACCAGGTAGGCACACTTTAAGATAAACAGACAACTTGAATCACTCTGGCTGTAAAACAGCATCACAGATTGGGCCAGCCCCAGTGTCACTCCACTCACTTTTTAAGTGGGTCCCCTTTCCCAGCTTTGCACAGTGGGGACCATGTCTTGCAGCCCAGTCTCCTGACCCAGTGTGTGCCCAGCACCCAGGCTGTGGCCTGTGCATATTTGTCAAAACAAGAGTAACCATCTGGTGAGTATTTTATATGGAAGGGTTTTCAAGATGGTGAACTGGATTAAAGTAATTATTCAGGCTGCTTTCAGTTGGTAAGGTTGTATGAGTTTCTAAGAAAAAAAAATGCAAAAGGTGACTTTAGGGTTGGAAAGAATCATGATTTATTTCCCTTAATGAAAATGAATTCTTTTTGCCTTTTAAAATTTGCAGACTTGACAATGAATGCATACTCTTTCTTCCTCGATATGAAGTCGGCCTCTACTTTGTCCATCTTTTACTACTTCTCCCCTTTCTGCTTGCCTGGGACATGTCTCCTTGTCCTCTGGACTTCTGTATATCCTCGTCATCTCCTACCTCTCTTCCTGCCCTCTGGTGTATTATCGCCCTACCTGACTTCGTTTCTCTGCCAGTTCTAAGATGATAGATCATTGAGAAATACTAGGTGATCAAGTGTTAATTTCTAATATAAATAATGCCTTAGTAATCAATCCAGAGGTATTTGTTTATCTGAATACTTAAAATTCAGGAAACTGGATCTGTGAAAGGTCAGGATTCATTAACCAAAGGACGATGGATAATTCATCCAGTGCTTGATCCAGCCCTGGAAGTACTACATATTTGCTGCAACTTGATGTGCATTTGAAGCTATGAAAAGCAAAGTAAAAACTCTCCTGGCTAAAAGACAGCAAGCAATTTAAGGAAAGA